AGAAAAAAACCGCCACTAATTACATAAATTTTTGTAGTGGTTAATGACTTATCAAAATTATAACAATTATTATTCCTGTCATAAGAATGAGTTTTTTTTTTCTTCAATTAGAAGTTTTTATAAGAAAATTCAAAATGAGTAAGATTATAAAATTATACGCTTAACGCACAATTTTGGAAATTGTGTCTTTCTTATATTGCTAATACACAATTTTGGCTTTGACATCCTATTTTAGGATTATGCCTTAGTTAATGGCTCCTTGTGTTGAAACATTCTGTTTGTCTTATTTATTTATTTATTTATTTTCATTTTGTTATTTTATATCAAATTTCTTAGCTAATCTTGAACTAAATTTGAGCATGTGATAGGATTTTTAAAATGTAAGAATGTCTTGAAAACAGGTAAAGAAAATAAAGGAACTTGATCCTAACCACGACTCGCTGGTAGAACCAAAGTCATCAAAATAAAGAAATGTGACCCTAATCGTGACATGCCGGTAGAACCAACATTATCAAGTTCTTATCCAAGAACAAAGAAAAAAAACTCTCATAGTGAGAAACTCAAAATATGATTAATATTCAATCAGATTTAGATGCTTACAAGATGCTCCTATTTATAGGCTAAAATAAACAACCTATCACTTACATGTAATAACATTCCGTTAAGCTCCACTAGACATTAAAATCCCATCAATTCCTATTAACATTTATTTTCCACTAGGAAGTCAAATGACACTCAAAATTGACCTATGCAATATGTAAAGTCATATAAACTTATTTAATTAAAATAAAATACAAAAATTACAATAAAAATAAGAAAATGAACTTATGTAATTATTGAATATCCAAAACTGTTTCAGCTTCAACTCATTTATGCTTCTTCTAGAAATGAGTTTGGGTTTGTCATGTTTGTTTTCAATTTGGGCCTAAGTCTTCATCAACTTGTAGGAATGTAATCCATTTTGCTATAGCCTTTGAATTTAAACTTGCTTTCGTCTTTATAATTAGTCCTTGTAAAGCTTGCTTCATCCTCTTCATCTTAAACCTTGTCATGGGATCTCCAAATATCACACAATAGATCTTTTTCTTGGTTGGTTGGATCTTTATAAGCATGTTTGTTGTCAAACAGATATATTAAATTGTGAACTAGGTGCATATCTAGATAAATCACTTCACAAATACTAAGGAGAAGAAAAAAAGAAAAAAATAAATAAATTGCTTTGCGAACTAAAATTAACTTATATATAAATTTAAAAAAAACATATTTTAAAAACGTTGATTACATAAAACTTTTACAAACTAAATTATATATAAACTAATTTAATTTTTTGTAAAATTCCTCATTTTTTCAGTAAAAATATATAATCTATAAGCTAATTTTAGGAAAAATTTATTGTATTTTATTTCTCTTATCAGCATGGTCGATCCTAACATTCTATAGACTCTAAGAAAAATAATAAATTATGACTTTGTAGATATAAGTATAAAATAAAAATATATTTTATAAAGGATAGATATGTCATTTTATTAAGAGAATCATAAATCTTATTTTATTAAGTGTATAATATAGGAGATTTGAAGAAGAGAATCATAAATCTTATTTTATTAAGTGTATAATATAGTTTTAGAGGGAATAAGTATAACCACAGTATATACTGTAGTTTTTAAAAAATAATATTAAAACAGTTTCTTCAAATATCAATTCCAAATTTCATTAAGTGCGATTTTCATTATTTTTTATATATCAAACCAAGAGAGTGAATATAATATGTTATTAAGTGTAGGTTTTTTTATTTCAAAATATTTTTATATTTTTTCAGCATTGTTTAATACAACAATGATCAAAAACTGAAAGACAGTTCTTTTACATAAATTAAAAAATAAATTGAATGGAAATTAAAGCATGATTGTGAAATCGTATTTTTTTAAAACGTTTAAAAATATAAAAAAAAGAATTCAGGGTGTTAAGATACATACAAATATTAAAACAATAAGTATTTTCTATTTTTTTTTTCTTGAAATATGAGAGACTAAAAAAATTGGGTCTTCCCAATTAAGGTCCGAGGTAGCTGAACTTCTAAACTACCCTCAGGACCGACTCTGCCTCTGCCTATAAGTGATTATCATAGAGAAATTTGTCCAATCGATTCATAAGAAAACTATGTTATCTGCTCTTCCTTCAATCTTAGACTTGCCACAGGTCGCTGCTCATTGCCCCCAACATCCCTGCTGCTGAAACCATGTTTCTCGTCGGGTATGGCATTTTGTGCTTTTAGCTGTGATGCACTATTGTTGGCAAGTGTGTGGCTGTTAGTCTTGGCTGCTGGCACATCATGATTATGCTTTCCTTCATATGTTGTTATGACAGCTTTAGGATCCGTTGAAGCCCTCTCAACATGCTTCCTAACATTGCAACCAGGGGTTGTGCATTTGTAATAGCTCCTACATATCATAAAGGCATGCATCACCTTCTTTTTCAAGAATGGTAACAAAGCTGAGCAGAATATATAGAGTACAATATTTAAGCTTAAGCATTATACTAACCAAGCTTCTTGAATTTTGTTGACAATGTTAGGAAATACTAGCGGATTAAAAGATGGGACCATTAACGATTCACAAACAAACAGTAATAGGGTCTATTTAGATAAATAAATAATTTTTCTGTAAGCATTCTAGGAAGAAAAAATGAAATAAATTTTTTCATAAACTAAAATTAACTTTATCAACTTCTCTAAAATATTGTTTTTAACTCATATTTAAGTTATTTAACTTATGAAATAAGTTATTTCAATTTTTCTTTATACTTTTTTCTCTTAAAAGCTTTTCTAAAAAACCTTATTCAAACAGACTTTAAATCCTGTTATAAAAAAAATTAGAGCAAACAATATAAAAGAACTTCACATCCTATCCAACTCAAATGCCTTTAAACATTAAATGTAGGCCATCCCTGTTATAAGTTGTTCAAATTTTACATGTTATTCTCACTTGTCACTTTAACAGGCAATGATAATGTTCATCCATAACTAAATATAGCAATCGACGTGTGGGAGAAAAGCAATATCACCTTGGATATGGATTTCCTTTGACAACTTTCTGCCCATATTTGCGCCATCTATATCCATCATCTAACAGATCCACTTCACTAATTGTTTGCACAATGATTCTAGGCTCTGCGACAGATCTATGTATAGAGGCTGGATCCTGGAGCCTGGCGTCAGTGTTTCTGCAGAATCATAAAACGTTCCACCATCACAAAAAGCAAAATAGTTATTCCATATCATGAAGAGGTTTATATGAACTAAACCCTTACCTCCTCTTGGGATCAGGTTCAACATTTTTTCCATCTACTTCTGTTTCATGATCACCTACTTCCTCACTGTCACTTGTTCCTGACCCATGTTCAGCTGTTGCCTGACAAGATTCTAGATCCATCTTAGGCACTGAATGAGAACTCATCTCTTCTTTCAATCCATCTGAATTTTCATTTGAAGTGAGGGTCTCTTTTGTGATCCTACTGGGATGAGGACGTTGGTGATTGTGCTCTCCTTTATAAATAATTGCAGTTACATGACCCTCAAGAGAGCGCTCAAGCTTTTTCTTGACAGGACAATTTGGATGTGTGCATTTGTAATAACTCCTAGAGAAGTCACTACCTTTTACATTTTTTTGCCCATATTTCCTCCAGTTGTAGCCATCATCATTAGGCTTATCAGCATTCACAGAAGAAGACTGCAGTTTTTGTTCAGAGTGAGAAAAGTCAATGGATTCTGTCACCCTAGAATCTGGCATTGAGAGTGGTATCAGCTGTTGTGCAATAGTGGAAGAAGCTGAAGGAACTTGTGTGAATGAGGAAGCAGACATTGCTGAGATAGAGAATGGATGTTCAGATTGGATTTGCACATTGGTGTAGGCTGGCACAGCCTGCGATGATGTGACATGTGCTAGCATCTGCTGGTGTGCCATTTCAAGGTGCCCCTAAATTACATGACTTATAAGTCAAATGCTCAGGAGAATAAGGAAAGAAAACACTTTTTAAGTGATAACATTATCATGGCAAAAAACCTTGGTTGTATTTTGCTGCATCACTTACCCTTGCTTATTATTATGTTTTTCATTCATCCTAATTTCATTATAATAAGTGTATGTACATCTATTATCTTGTCCATTCATATTAGTAATCTCTCGTAGAGTCGTAGTCGTAGACCATATTTCAGCCTAAAAACTAGGTAAGAGGAAATCATTCAACTATCCTTGCGGAGAAATTATTATCATGATTCTAGTCAATTTTTTTATCAATACATAGTCAAGTTTTATTTATTTGTAAACTTATCTGGAAAACTTGAGCAGGTGCTAAATTATGATTAATGCGAAAATTGACTTGAAAAAATAAACATATATGAGTTTAGAACTATATAATAATTTCTTATACTATTTAAGACCACGTGATAATTTCTCATGCTCGAGATAGGTGTCACGCGAAATGAACATTTAATAAATTCCCTTTCATTAATTAACACAAGGAAGTTCATATTTATATCCCTACTGTGGTAATCTCTACCTTAATAAAGATTCTCCCAAAAGGAATCCCATGGCTCTAATGAATCAAGTTTAAGAACTCAAGCATGGTAGATAGACACAAGTTTCATAAAGCCATAAAACACATTCTCTTTTAGAAATTACTAGATATTTCAAAATTATCAAATGTGTATATGCTTTCAACTAATTATTACATAACATTATTTTAATTTATAAAAAAAATTAATAATACTTTGTTATATATTATCATATAAAAACTAATTAAACACTATATAATTCAGGAATACCTAATAATATTTCTGTTCTCTTACTAGAATTCAAAACTATGTCCATAGTTATAATGAAAACTCATTCTCTAACACAGGTTTCATAAAGCCACAATTCAAGGCTGTGTCCCGTTTGGTAATAACCTAATACTCTAATTAACGTATTTTAATCATATTTATTGATTTAAAAATTAATTTTAATAATAAAAATATAAATCACACAGAATATGTAATTGCAAAAACTTGTACAAATTTAGGAACAAGTCCAATTACTAAGCATTGAACGTGCTGTTGGAACAAATATAGCAAAAGAAAAGTGTTACTTGAGATGGTGAATCGAAGGTAGCGGGGGTGAACGTGGGCATAGGTGTAGTGGGGTCCACCATGGCGCCGGCAAGGAGCTCCGAGAACGACTTACACTCATCGCCGTCGCCAAAGAAGCTCGAAAGCAGAGTCATGGGACCGGGGCTATACCCCAGGGTAGGCCCACCGTTGAAAACACTCTCCACGGAGGCGCGTGGCCGGAGAACGCTTCTGGGACGCGCCGCTGGCCACGGTGGTGCTTGCTCTCCCTCTCCATTTCCACCGCCAACCATTCACTTTGAATGAACCCAGACAATATAACCTCTTTTTTGTTTATTTTTTTTTTCCTCTTTCTCTCTGTCTTCCTTTTCTGGAACCTAAACTATAAGCAAAAAGTCTCCGACCTTTTTGTTCTGTGTGTGTTGTACGATGATTCTGGTTGGTTGGTTTGATTTTTGGGTTTCGTGGATCTCAATTCTCAATTTCAGCAAAAAGTCCACGCCCCTGATACGCGAGGAAAGAAAAAACCTCTCCTCTGTTTCCCATTTTCTCTCATCATCCTTCACGTATCAACAAAATTATATATTTCATTTTTTTATTACACAATGATATCATTTTCTTTCTTATCTGTAAAACTTAACCACAGGAACATTAATTCGTAATTTAACTAAAAGTGAATTTGGATTCACATTATATTTTACCGAATCTGAATCATGTTAAAACATTTGTTGAAGTGATTTTACCTGAATGTTTAATTTTAGAGAAATTGATTGTGAGTAAAATTATTTTTAACTGAAGTAATTTTAAATAGTTTTTGCGCTCTGCTAAAATTTGTTCTTAATATGAATAATATTACTTTAAAAATTCAAAATCCATTTTGTATCCAAGAAAAATTTTGCACTTTAATTCCTTATACTGGACCAACATATTTATTTTCATCCTTAATACTAATGGAGAAATATAGTAAAAATAAAAGTGAATGAAATTTTAGAGTAAGTTTTATAAAATTGAGGAGCGAGAAATAGTACTTACAACATCAGATATTAAAGTGAAAAAGTATTCTATGGAGGGTTCTTTTTCTCGTTCAAGTCTAAAATTGTAAATTACGTGCGTTCTAATTGTGATTTGTAATAAAAATGAGAATAAAATGGAGAAAGGGTTTAGCGTGCAGTAGGGTTGTGCGATTTGGTGCATTGTCGAGATTGACCCCGGAAGAGTTATGAAATTGCTTGGGTTTGAGAGTGGCGCACCAATGGGGTGCGGTGACGTGAGGGACAGGGGTGAGAAGCGGGTTTAGCAGTCCCGTTTGTTATGTGTTCGTCCTTGTGTAGATAATAAAGACGAAACTCAAGTCAGTCAAGTCACAAAAACTGACAACACTTTTTCCCTTTTTCCATTATAATACTCGGACAAATTTTGCCGCCACGGGATGATAAAGGTTACATCGGTTCAAAGACTTTTTTTTTTCTTTTTTCTTTTTTTAATTATGAAAGTATTATTTTGTCGTAGAGTTTAGTGGGTATTTAAGTTGGTGGTGTAGTAAAATTATTCCATTCATCAATTATAAATTATGATGGGTATAATTTGATGAATGGAATAATTTGTAAAATAGTCATTATTAATTATATTAATAGTTTGAAATATTATATATATATAGGGAAAGGAATGTTATAATAATATTGATATAATTTTTTATTAAGTATTACATTATTTAATAATTTTATTTTAAATGTGAATTTTGTAAGTCTAATTCACTGTACTTTTAAATATCAGACGATTATGTAGAGTTTGCTTAAATTACAATCAATGCGTCTGAAGGATTTATCGTCCACTAGGGAAAATGTTTTGTAAGAATATTAATTGGAGTTCTTACATTTTCCTTTTCAAGATAGTTTCATTTAGGAACATGTGATAGATAAAACGCTTAGTGTAATAAGTCTGTCAAGCAAAGTTAGCATCTTCGTCTAAAAGTTGTTTTAAAGATATATGAACATTGGACGAAATCTTTCACAAATGTTTCATTAATAAGGAAGATTTACGACTAAGTAAGAAAAAAATGCAATCATTTTATACTGGTTCGCTCAACTGAGCTACGTCCAGTCTCCTTCAACTTGAAGGAATCCACTAGATATGAAATGAAGTGCATTGAGTATTATCATCCACTCCTGGACTTGAGTATTCTCGACCAGTGTTTTTAAAACCGGATTGAACCGGCCAGTCAGACCAGGAACCGGTGGTCCAGACAGTCCGAATCTTAAGTTAGATCGGTTATGCAATCGACCCGTTTCAAACCGAATTGAACCAGTCAATTTTTCGGTTCAACTGGTGAACCGGTGGGTCAAACCGGTTCAAGCACACTTTTTTTTTTTTTTATTTTTATTTTTTAGGGGACCATAAACCACATAAATAATAATGAAAATTGAATCTCTTAATGGAAGAGCAAAGAGTCTTATTAAATATAACAATGACTACTTATTCTAATGTATTTGTTTGTAATATATTCAACTTAATAACTTTTATGGTATATTATTAATTTTAAATTATATATTTAATAATATAATATCTATGTAGATATTACATATATTATTTTGTGATATCAATTGCAAGCATATTATATATGTACATATTATTTATAGTTTTAATTTGTATTAATATACAGTTTAACATGTAATTTTTTATGTACTTTTTTATAAAATAAAAATAAAATTAATTTTAAATAAAATAGAAAAATTGAAATTAAAAATAAGATATGAATTTATTAAAATTTATAAGTATAAAATATATTTAACATGAATATTTTTTAAAACAAAAATAATAAAAATTGAGTCATGGGGTTCAACTAGTGACCCACCGGTTCAACCTTTAACCCACTGACCTAGTACCTTAACCGGTTTGATGACTGGTCCGGTTTTTAAAACTACGTTCTCGACCACTCCTGGCTCAAGTATTCTCGAGCACTCCTAGCCCGCCAGCTCCACTCACTAGCACTAGTATTCTTACACCACTTCTGGTCCAAGTATTCTCGACAACTTCTGGCGCATCGGCTTCACTCACCAACACTAGTATTCTTAAACCACTTCTGGTTCCCCAAGTATTCTCGACCACTTCTGGCTCGCCAGCTTCACTCACCAGCGCTAATATTTTCTTATCAGCCACTTCTGGCTAGTAGTGAGTATTCTTTGACAAGCCCCTCCGGGCTTTACAAGTATTCTTTCCTTAGCCTCTTCAAGCTTTACTATGTTGGCTAAGTAGGTTTGGTTTGAGTGTATACATAACTCTCACGGAGAGGATTGGAAATTTCTACTTACTACCATAGTCTTACAGAGACTTGTGATTGAGTGTTTGGGTTACTCTCATGGAGGGGATACATAGGTTTACAACACTCACTAAGGTTTAGTTCACCAATGATGCCTCAACTACCTTAGTCTTCAGAGATAAAAATACAATATTATATTGTACATATCACTTTGAATGCTCATCTCTGGTATCTCTGTTTCTTGGGCTTGATATCACTATTTCTTGATCAGGAAAGCCAGCCATTTAAGGTTTGAAGTAGTGATATATATCGACTCTTGTAAAATCTGTCCGTTGCATATGTCCGTTGAAGGAGATATAGTCGTTTATGATTAGTTTAATCTTCTCATTTAATGCTCTGATCCTTGCATTAAATATTGTTTCCTGTTTATAGACAATGCGTGAAGTTTTCCTGTTCATTTAGTAGTTGTATCTGAGTGTAGCAGAGTCCTAGGAAACTTCTGTCCTTTTTCTGATCCTATAGCTGTGGAGCTTTTGTCCTTGTCTGAAAAATGATGTACTTTTCCCGACATACGCATGATTTAACATTTGAGTATGCTTTTCTTCTTTCTTCTTCTCTTGTCATAATTTGTCTGACTTCATGCGTTCTTTTGTGACTGTAGACAATATTCAAATTGTCTTTTGAACCATGATTTTTCAGGTGATTGTGTGTCATTCTTCGTCTGCGTCTGGTAGTAGACATATAGTTCAATACTTTGACCTTTCTCTAATCATCAGTGTTTTTCCTTTCGTCTTGGTCAACTCAGTATACAGTCAGACTTTTCATTTCTTCTTGGTCGTTGATCATCTTCCTTCTGAGTCTTTATTTGCTACCTTGGACTATATTTTGCATGGTCTTGTTGAGTGTTTATGTTGGCCTTCTGTCTTGTACCGTCTAATGCTTATGCCATTTTGTCATTTTACCTATTCTTACTTCTTTCTGAAACACTAACTCACTTGTTAGAGATAACAACATATATTATATTTTTCTCACTCAAAAACTTTTTGGGAATGTCTTCGTTTGACTTAACAATCTCCCCCTTTTTGATACCCAAAAGACAAATTAGGGATTTTTTTAGGGGCCCAGAACGGGCCGTTCCGAATTCAGAACGGGTTGTTCTGGTTTCCCCGGAATGGGTCGTTCCGATTTCAGAACGGGGCGGAGTAAGATCAAACTTATTGTTAACAAACCTATTATCAAGCTATATATTATGTTGAAATATAATCGAAGTTTTGTATTGTTAAAATAAAAGGATAGACATATGTTTATAAATACATATGTTTCCACTATTAAGAAACCATTTAGATGATGACTAAAAGTAAAACTATGAATACTTAAATTCAAAGTAGACAATATCTTACCAATGTGGAAATATGTATATATGTGAATACCCGATGCACAACATGTTACTAGTTATTAGCAATAGTAATTGGTTTTTAAAAACATAATACCAATTATTGGTCCATATTTGGAAGAGAGTCTTCCTAGTAACATGGAGGGTTAGGAGACATATCTCACTATCATGAGTTAATGATGGAGTGGTGGTGCAAGTACTTAACATGATTGAGCTTTTATGGGCCACCATTAAATATACTCATGAACTAGTAGCTTCCACTGTAATAAGGGGGTTAGAACATGGTTCTTAGTTTGAGGGGAGGATAGTTAGAGGGTTAGGAGGCATGTCTCACTATCGTGAGTTAATGATGGAGTTATGGTGCAAGTACTTAGAGCGTGACTAAGCTCTATGAGCCACCATTGAATATATTCATAGACCGATAGCTTCCATTACAATAAGGGGTGAAACTACAGTCTTTTGTTTAAGGGGGAATAAAGTTCTCCAACGGCTTTAACTTGTATTTTAGCTCTAAAATACTATCAATATTATTATATTAATATATACATAAATAAATTATTATTAAGTAATTATATTAATATATATATAACTGCAGGGTGAGGTGGATTAGGTACCATAGTACCCGTACCTACACCTGCACCCACTAAAGTTTATAGGTACATACCTGCCCCACACCTATTCCCATCGAGTATCTATCCATCCTACATGAGGGTATTTATTTTAATGATTTTATGTGTTTATTAGAATAATTTTTAATATTATTTAACTATTTGATATGAGCTTTATTTTTTTATATATATATAAAACATATGTTGTTTTTACTAAAATGGAGAAGTATATTTTATATTATTTATCTATTTTATTTTAGCTTTATTTTAATATAAATCATGATTTTTAATTAATATTTGATTATTTGATATGCGACAAGTTTTTAT